GATACATGTGTATACCTACTAAATATCAAATATAATTTTTTTTTATATATTTATTCTTGGCATGTGATATATAATACATGTACAGTCTACTATAAACTGCTGTTATTCTTTTGAAGCATTAAGTTTCTTTTTTTTTGTAAAGAAACAATTCCCAAATAATTTTGTTAAATAATTGTTAAACAATACGTAAATAATTTCATGTGTTTGCAGGAAATATTATGTACATATATATAAGTTTTACATATATTATTTTAGATATGATGTTGTATATGTAAATGTAACACACATGCCAGACTGGTTAATAGAAAAAAATCCATTGAATAAAGTTCCCTGCATCGAATTAAAAGGAGGAGAAATATTATACGAGAGCCTAATTATTGCTGATTACTTGGATGATGCCTATCCTCAAAATAAATTATACCCAAGTAATCCTTTAGCAAAAGCTAAAGATAAGTTATTAATTGATAGATTTAATGCAGTAATAAACGACTATATATAAGGTATTTTTTATGTTGGTTTGAATGTATTCCTTATTTATAATTCAAGTGCATTTGTGCATTTTTAACTTATTATATTTGTTTTATAGCTATTTTATCTAGGTCCAACATTAGAGCATGATATGTTTAATGAGGCATTAAATGGTTTAGAACTTTTTGATCAGAAGTTGGCAAAAAGAGGAACCCCATTTTTTGGAGGAGGCAAGCCTGGTATGTTGGACTTTATGATATGGCCATGGTGCGAAAGAGCTGATGTGATAAGAATTATACAGGGAGAGCAATTTATCATACCTAGAGATATTATATAAATATATACTATAAATTATAGTATAATTTTTGAAATTGGGTGATACAAATTCTTATATGATATAGCTTGAATGGAGAAACGCAATGAAAGATCCTGCAGTACAAGGTAGTTTCTTGGATGTCGAAGCGTACGCCAAATACATATGTAATCGTATAGCTGGGACACCTCAATACGACTTAATAATTAATAGTTAAAGATAATACTATCTAATTACAAAGCTCATTCCATCTGAGAATCTCTTAAATTCAAGTGATGCATTACTTTTTTATATATTGCTGATTTAATATAACAAATTGCATTCTATAGCAAAAATACATATTTATAGAAATATGAATAAAATTCATGTTTGTGCAATATCTAAAATAAGCATCAATTTGTTTATGAAAAAAGGCATTTATTTTTATTGTTATATTAATTGGCACATATGGAAATAAAAATTTCTTTTTCATGAAAAATTGTATACATGGTCTCACAATGTTTATTATTTACCTAGTATGCAAATTGTTGTATATAAACTATATAATTCTAAAATGTATTTATAATACCTAATATTTACAAAATCTAACACATCAATTGGTAAGTCGTGAATATGCATAACTTGATAATCATATTTCATATAAAAAAAAAATTTGTATAACAGATAATATAATATTGCAATATTTCTCCCCTAATAGTATATAACCACTAAATATTCCCAAAAATCATCAGATATATTCCATAGAGAAGAAAACATACAAAAATCAAACATGCCGCTACCATAAAAGATTTTGAGTTTTCCTTTCTTAAACTCTGTAATTTTTTTTCATTTCTTCTAAGAACTTCTTTAACTTCTTCTAATTCGTTTTCCAATCTTTCACGATTTTCCGTAGTAAGTAATTTTGTTTTTAGCTTTTTCTCAATTACTTCAACTCTGTATAAAGTATCTTTTAAACTCTCTTCCACGTGTTCCATCTACAAAAATATAAACGATCAAGCTGTAATCTCTCGTAAAAATTCTCATTCAACAGATAATACAAAATAATATGAAAATTAAATTATTAGTACCTTAGTAATCACAGTATCGCTTCGCGTCATTATGTATAATTTACTGTGCACACTTTCTTGTCTCTATATATTTTTCCACAATATTATAAGATAAATAAATATAATAAAATTTTTGTGACGCTTACAAAACAGAATCTTTATTGACGAATCAAGTGTACGTGTACATACACGTGCGTACTACGATCAGAGAACATAAAATAAATAGAGAGTAAACTGACAACGCTATAAGCATCAGCAATTCTGAATAAAGTGCCCAATCGGTAAATTTCTTGATATCGATAATTAATACATATATCATTAGAGGGTACGTTCCGCTTCTCGCATGATACGCATAGGAGCGCATTCCAAGATCGTTCCGTTTTAGAGACCGGAAATAAGTTGGCGCTGGAAGTTCATATTTTTTAATAATTTATAGCTCAAACGATTGCTCCTTAATTGCTCCGTTAGAATCCACAATTGCTCCCCTTTTAAAATTAGTAGTTTTTGAAATATTTACAAAAAATTTACGTAAAATTTATCATTTTCACTCAAAGACATATTTCCAATAGTTTTCTGCAACTATATCCAGCATAAAACGATTGCTCCTTAATTGCTCCATATTGCTCCATCATTATTTTCATGATTTATTGCATTTTTTATCGAAAATTAAGCTATTAATAATTTTCCAAGCGACGCCGTCGCCACCTATCGGCCGCCTATCGGAACTATATGGCTCAGAAGCCAACGGCGAGAATATTCAAACATAATATAACATAAAACAATTGCTCTTTAATTGCTTCGCATTGCTTCATCATTATTTTCATGATTTATTCACTTCAATTAGCTGTGTCACATGCTTCAATTGAAACATTACCAAGAAATATTGAATTTATGATCTCAGAAACTTATACATGGTTTTCAAAATCACATATCAGACAGGAACATTTTAGAAATATATATAAAGCAATTAATGACGGTTGAGAACCCAAAAAGATTGTAAAAAGTTGTAAAACGAGATGGTTGTCAATAGAAAAGGCTGTGTTTAAAATATATAATCAATATTTAGAACTTAAAACCCATTTTGAGACTGTGAGGATTACTGAAAATTGCTATACTGCTCAATTATTATATGATTTATATGAAAATGAATTTAACTTAGTATATCTTTTGTTTTTACATCCAATACTTAATGAAATGCAACAAGTAAATAAATCTTTTGAAGCTCAAAATGCTGATCCTTTAAAACTGTTTAATGATCTTATTCTTCTAATACATTCAATTGCCAAGCGTATTACAATGTCATCGTGTAAACTCGATCCTATAAGTCATGATATATCAAATTATTTAGATAGAAATTTATATTTAGGTTACCAATGTGAAAACAAATTGAGACAATTAAGATCAGATAAAATGATTTCATCAGATGATAAGAAAAATTTTAGAGAGCGTTGTAAAAGTTTTCTTTACAAATTGTAGAAATAAAACAAAGAGTACCTGATAATATAAAAATTTTAGAGAAGAAAATCTCATTTTTTTCTGTAGATAATATATTAAAACACCAAAAACTTTCAATAACTTCTCTTTGTCAAGAATTTAGACAGATCTCAAATTAGTAATATTCCCAGACAGCACAAAACGTCCTCAGGATCATCCTGAATATGTCCAGGATGGTTCAGGATATTTGTAGGATGTTTTAAGATATTATTATAAATATATTTTATGAAAATTTAATATGCATACATGATTACTTTCGGTTATGTAGGCTATTTAATATAATTTAGAAATTTTAAGTATTGTAATAATAAGTATTAATGTCCTATAAATGTCCCCTGGATAACCCCTGGATGTCTGCCCTGTCTATTATATTGAATGTCCTTTGGATTTCCAGAGGACATATACATGTGCAATTAATTGTTAAAATTAATTTCGTTTAATATTAATAATTGAATTTGATGCGCACATTTTCACATATTCAAAATTATTATTTATTTAATAATTTATGAGAAATGTTACTATGCGCAACATTCCAAAAACTTTACAAAAAATAGTATTCAACCGCTAGTTAGTTTGTTTACCGCTATGCGAAGCGCAAACTCGTATTTGAGATTTGGTCATGAGAATTATATAAAGCTTGCAAAGAGCAACTAACAGGAAATTAAAAATATAATTATTTTTTATCAGTTCAATTTCTGATGCAATCCAAACATAAGGAAGTCAGATATTGGATTGTTTTGAAAATATTACACGACTCAAACCCGGAAGCCAAACCTAAAATATTCATGTACAGCACGAAAACCTCAAATATTAAAGAACGTGAACTATTTTTAGTATTAGATTTTTAGTATTGGCAGTAAATAACAGAACGCAATCTTAATTTATATTTAAATTTTAGAATTTGTTCCTTTTAACGTATGAAAAATATCCCTAACATATCCTATAGAAATCCTTAAGATGTTCCACAGGATCTCCCTGGATTCTCCAGAGGCTAGTGTACGGCTATCATTTACTCTTCCTCAGGACATCCAGAGGAGATCCGAGGATTAAAATAGGATATCCTCAGGATATCCTACATGTATGTCCTGGATGCCCTTTGGACGTCCTAAGGACATCCTTGTGCTGTCTGGGTTATAACTCAATATGAAAAGATACACTTTGTCAAATGGCAAAATGTAAATAATACAATAAAGTTTTGGCATGAGGTTTCAAATTACAGAAATGCTATTGGAGAAAATCCATTTAAGGGTCTTTGTAATGTAGCTCTGTCATTTTTAGTATTACCCCCTTCGACTGCCGACCTTGAAAGGATTTTCAGCCAATTAAATATCATAAAAAATAAAACTCGTAATAAATTAAGTTTAGAAATGGTTAACTCTATTTTGACAATACGTTATGGCTTAAAAAGAAATAACAAGTGTTGTTACAATTACTGTCTTGATGAGAAAACATTAAATATTATAGGAACAAATAAAGCTTATCTACAAAACTATGATAACTTTGATTTACATAATCTTTTCAATAATCTTGAATAGGTATTCTTTATTTAAACATATTGTGTATTCAAGTTTGTTAAGTATTTTTAAGTTATAATTTGTGCAATCATATATTTTGGTTTATTTTTTATATTTAAAAGTTTGCAATATAAGTTAATAATTAAAATTAAAAAGTTTGCAATATAAGTTAATAATTAAAATTAAAAAGTTTGCAATATAAGTTAATAATTAAAATTAAAAAGTTTGCGATATAAGTTAATAATTAAAATAAGTTATACTATGGCCGTGTTCCGATATTCACTGTCAATATTGAAAATCTATAATGTATGTGACGTAAACTATAGATTTTCAGTACTGGCAGTGAATATCGGAACACGGCCTATATCTAGTTATCTATACTTAGTCATAGGTAAATTTTTTTTATAGAATAAGATTTTTATTTTATTAAATTTTGTTTTGTTAAACATTGAATAATAATAGGGTATTATAAAAAAAAAAATTGTTATATAAAAACACTATTTCCAAACTTTTAAGATTTTCCACCAACAATAAATAATTTAAAATAAATAAAGAAAGACGATTAAAATTTAAAATTTTCACGTGACTTTAAAACGCTTCGTTATTGGTTAGTTCGTGCGTGACGTCACTTCGTTACTAAAACTTCGATTTAGTACAGGGAACAAGGAGATTATTTACGGTTTCACTTTTTTTAAAGAAAGGTAGTCATTAATGAACGAAGTCAAATGGAAGCAGAGTATGTTAAAACAAATTCGACAAATCTATCAAAAATTGATACGCTAATGGTGTGTCAATTTATAAGAGAAAACAGTCGCTTTAATGGTGCGGAAATGCTAGGAGTAAAAACATCTGCGTAAATATTGTACTAAATCGAAGTTTTAGTAACGAAGTGACGTCACGCGGCTACAGCGCCATATTGGCGCGTTTTCGTAGCATTTCAAACTATGATGTTTTAAATAATTTAAAAATAATACAAATTGAACGTTTTAAAGAAAACGAAAAAAATTTTAATAACTAAATAGGGTATGAACTTCAATAAAAAAATATTTTTGAAAAACGTTATAATACCCTATTGGACGCTAAAAAAAATTTTATTTTGTATCAGAAGTATCTTTATATCTCTTAATTGTATATGAATAAAGACTCTTCTTTATAAAACTAAATGTGTGAATTTAAATATAATAAGATTCAAATATAATAAGAGTTGTTATATATTTAGCTTATTATTTAGCTTATTTATTTTAAATTTAACTTATTTCGGAGTTTTTTAGTGAGTCATATAGCGGAATTCTAAATATTATAGTTGGCAACACTGCTCCCGAGGTGGTGTAGTCCATGCGTGGTCCATGCACGAGAGTTATTTAGGCGGAAAGGAGACTATCTGTAAAGTGGTACAAATTATAGGATTCCAAAATTCATAAAAAATGACTTTGAAGAAGCTACAAATTTATGTTGATGATAAATTGTGAATGTTCGACGTGTCCGATACTAAATAAAACTCCAAATCTAAATATATGTACACGTAGGCGGACACAACGGCGCGGCCCCTACAAAGCCTGCAAAGAATTCGGTTAATGCGTTCATCGATAAATGATCATGTATCACTTTCTATCTACGAGACCGACCGATTTCGAGATTTCGTTTAAAATTCCATTGCTTTCCATAAATATTAAAAATTGTATTAAAAAGACATTTATACCCAGACAGCACGAAAAGGCCAAAAGACATCTTGAAAATATTTAAAGAACGATAAGACATCTTTAAATCGTTTTTTAGACGTCTTTTAGGAATATGTGAGGTCTGAAAATATTTCAAAGTAGAAAATTCTCTCTAAATATTATATACAATGCTTGTAGAATGCTTGCAGAAATATCATACATTTCATCTGCCATGTCTGTTTACAAACAGCCCAAGCGCGCATGGGTCTGTTCCGTTTCTCTATGCGCAGTAAGAGTGATGGGAAAAAGGGAACGAGTCAATGCGCTCATGCGATATGCTGCGTTTCATGCGGTTCACGCGTGAAACGGAACGCACGCAGAGAGAAGCCTGAGAGAGGCCATGCCGCCGTTTTTCGAAAGACACGCTTTTTCTATCTCGTACAGTAGCGTCAATTAGATCCATTTTAGAGCAGGCGAAACTACATGGCCAGTTTCATTTTTCGGTGTCACGATAAAACGGCCGGTTGGTGCATTTCCGTGCTAAATATATAATTGTGGATCA